TGTATAAGTTGTCTGTTTATGAATAGGATTCATATTCTGTCATGGTTTAACCATTGCATTTCCTTAAACTTACAATTTAAATATTAGGTTTTTCTTTCATTAGATTATCATAAATTAACAAAAGCTTCTAAACATTGCTTTAAACATCTTATGACGACAAAAGAATCAAATTCTCAGGGAGTTATTCTAATCTGGATGTATTTTACTTCATCATTAAAAAAATATAAAGTTTATTTTTAAAATGATAAACTACAATAATAAAGATCTAATAGTAAATATAGTTTTTCCGTTATGTAAAACGTGATTATTAGTAAATTGATTTGTGTTCCAGAAATCGAAAGTGGTATAACTTCGTAAATCTCTTGTATTATTTAAGATATTTAATACAAGATCGTAGATATTCCTAGGAAAATAGATTATGAAATTGCCATTAATCATTATTCAATCTGTGTTTAATTTAAATATAATTTAAACAATACAATCTACATTATGATTGTATTGCTCAAGTAATATTTAAATTTAATTTGTTTATATTTAATTTCATATTTTATTCTAACCTATTCATCGTTATTCAATGTTGTCAAAGCGTGATATTTCTCCATCTACGCTAAAGACTAAACAAACGAACTGGTGTGGCAACCCTTAGAACACTGGATTGGTCACCGTCGATAATATTCTTAAGGTAATCCTGCAATATAAAAAATGTCAGCAAAAATATTTTAAGATATTATTTAAATAATCATTTCAGTTTTGTTATTAATATACCAATAAGTTGGCCCGTGCGAAAAATACCCAGAAAATTTTGTTTAGTGAAGAAATAGCAAAAAAATATGGAAATAAGTAGATCCTATGTATTATATAAGGAAGGAATTAAAATTTTTTCCTTGGTCAATTACAATATTCCATTTAACATAATATACAAAAATATTTGTACAAATTGTTTTGCTAAGACCTATTTTTAAACGCTGACTGGAAAGATAATGAAAGTAATAAAGAGAAAATAATGCCCCGATTATGGGATTTTCTAAATTATTGAAAAAAATAAAATGTAAGAACAACCAAATGTCTTTAAGAAATAATAAAATTAATATGTCAGCCAGAAAAAAAAGTGTAGTAGACAATTCCACTCCTAAATGCAATATCTTTGAACAGGAAGACATTATTAAGTATACCAAAACTAATGGACTGTATCTTTGTTAATAATTGTCCGATTTATTGTTTGTTTTGTAGGTAATTTAGTAATCTTTCTAATTATCATAGGCACAATCCAGAAAAAAATGCATACTTTTTGAGTTATTTGCAAATAAAGTTTCTTTAAATTTCGGGGAGATAAGACTATATTTCGCATGTGAAGGAGAAGAATATATTTAAAATGAGTGGTCAATCATTGGATTTGATGAAGAATTGACAAAGTTATGGCGTACCGACAAAAAAACATCTTTTAGAAATAATATATAGGATTCTACGATAAGTATATCAAAAACGTTTTGAAATATATTTCATTTCTTCATGGTTAGGCCCTTAGAAAAATAAATTTAAAAAAGTAATGATTCAAAATCTATTTTAAATATTTTTATTGACATAATAATTGTTTGAACTTAGGTATATCTAAATAATAACGTAATTAAAATAAGGTGTATTGAAAGTTCTTATTTAATTTTCATCCATATACAAATATAAAATATACGTTTATTTTTTAAAAACACGTTGTCTAGAATATATTTACAGTTCTAATGTTCAATACAGTTTAAGCAATAGAGGGATATACTGACCTACATAATTCGATAGTATGACGTGACATGCATTATAATTAGTGCAGATAACATTCATATACAAGAAGAAATTTTTGGGACCCCATGAAACGCATTAATGATAAGTCATATAGCGCTTACACTTCCTTCTCCAAGAAATTGTATTGCTCTCATTTTCTTAAAAACAGTGCTCTCGAAATTGGTCCTTCTTCTGTGGTTTACAAGTTCTTCCAGATTGAAACCCCGCCAAAACGTGAGTCAAAAATACAAAATCCTGTAAAAACATGCCTCCTCGAAAATTTTGATAGAGCAACCTGAGCCATTTAATACCGTGCTTTGTACCACTGGCTTTACGTATTTTTCTAATTGATTCACTCTATTATTAGTAATATAATAATAATAAAATTGACGTAATCAATAAGAGTAAAAATATAAACCAAATATCTAGTATCACAATATTTTTGCTATAACCTTAAATTCATATGATTGTGTTAAAAAAAAAATCTACCTAACAAAAACATAGTAATTTAATATAATGTAATTATAATGTAATAATGTAATATAATTTATTAATGTTGAACTGTTGTTGATGTTGAACTTAAGGACAATATTTTTTTTTTTTTTAGTGATAACGATATAGGTGTGGATGTTTTTTATGTTTTTAATTTACTTGTATTTAGGTTATTTTATTTGTTTTTATTGTATATAGTTTTTACTTATTATTCTTTAGTTATTATTTTACTTTTGTTAATTTTATTTTATTTATTTATTTATTTATTTTTTGTATATACGGTGTGAATGTGTTCATTTATCAATATAATTACTGTCCCTGTGACAGAATATTATATGTCTAAATAAATAAATAATTTAAAAAAAAAAAAGTGATAACATCGGAAGTTTTTTAAGGAAATATATATATGATTTTTATCCATTTATTCTCATAAAATAACATCTTTACATTTATTATTAATGCATTCTTGGTGTTTAAAAAATTATTTTGATTTTTTAAAATATTTTATTCCCTCTTCTCATCATACAAAAAGATAATAATTTATATGGCGTCCTTCTGGATATATTATAAAATTATGTTGTATAGTTAATAAATAATGTAAACTATGACAGAAAAAAGATTATTTATCAAAATAAGAAGATAACAGAACTACTATCGTAAGAACAAAAAAATATGTATGAAATTTTCGTATTCATGTTGGTCATCCTTAGGGCTATCATTCGGAAGTCGAGACAAGAACTGAGCAACGATAGACCTGAAGATGTTTTGGTCGAAACGTCGGCTAGAACAATAAACAATATCTTGACTGAAATTCCTGACAATTTTGTTTCATCCTTATAATTGACTAGTCGACTACTTACCAATCTCAAAAGGAATTTATATTTACATTATCAAGATTCCTAACATTATATTTCAAAGGGTACATCAATTGTCCAGAAGTTCTTCAAACTATTTTTAAGTCCATGTAAGCATATCTTTTGTTCGTCCAAAGAAATAAACTAAACACGAAAATTTCATATATATTTTTTGGTTCTAATGACAACTATTCCCCTGTCTTCTTATTTTGACAAATCTTCCTTCTGTCATAGTTTACGTTATTTATTAACTATATTACACAATTCTATAATATATCCAGAGAGACGTCATATCTATTATTATTATTTTTTTAGTGGAAGAATAGGGAATAAAATATTTTAAAAAAAGGATAAATTTGGGTAGTTTTAGAAGAAAAAAAAAATACAAAGAAATTGAATATACTATCTTGAAAAATTTCTAATAGTTCACGGAACAGACCCCAATAAAGAGACAGCCGCAACTTTTCTTCTTCCTATATTTTTATTTTTTTTTTAGGAGGAGGAAGAAAGTAGTGTTACCCAAAATCGGTCTTGGTCTTGCAAAGACCAAGATCGCCTATATTTGCAAGACCAAGACCAAGACAAATTGGTCCAGTAGTTTTGGTTAATGGGCATACAGCGGACGGACAAAAAAAAATGTATTCGTTTTTCGAATTCTACGTCTCCTGAAACGTAAAAACCCAAATTTTGAGAGGAGTTTAAGTTTTTAAATTTTTTGTTCGATCACAATGATTCATTATTGAAAATAATAAACCAAAACAATACGTTGAATTCAGAATTTTATTCGCAAATAACTCAAAATGTACAAATTTGTCGGTTAATTAAACCCAGAGTTTTCTGAATTTCCTACAAAATCATGACAGAATAAATAAATAAATCATCGAAATAGAAAATCGATGTTATTTTGTTTTTTTACACGATTTTTCGGTTTGTATTTTTTTAGAAGGACTCTTAGTGTTGCCCAAAATCATCAAGACCAAGACCACCTAACTGTTGCAAGACCAAGACGTAAAAAAAAAAAGGTTTTTTAACTAAAAATTAAGGCAGAATAGTTACTAATACTCGACAATTTTAGTTACAATATGTAAAGAATTTGTATAACCAATATAATTTTGCATTTAATTCTTCTAATTTTTCATTAGGGCTTAGTTAGGTTTCTCCTATCTAAAAAAAATACAGTAATATCTCTATAGTAATAAGCTAACAGGTAACTGGAAGACTTTAGCGAAACTCTTGTCCAAGACCAAGACTGAGTGCGCAAGACCATCGTCTCGGTCTCGTATTTGGCTGACACTAAAAGAAAGAGTAAAATATAATTCTCTATACATTTTGTTAGTTTTATTAGAAAAAAATACAAGGAATTTCAATGTATTGTATTGTTATTTAAACAATTCAAATATATTGAATTAAGGGTATTTAGTCCGTGGTACTGATCACTTTTTATCAAATTATAAACATCAACCTAAATATCTTGACTGAAATTCCTGAAAATGACATTTTCCCTATTTCACTGACTTTTCTCTCACTCAAAAAAAAAATAAATAAATAAAAGTAGTTATGATTTCACTCTGGATATATTATAAAATATATTATAAAATTATATTATATAGTTAATAATTAAAAAACATAAATAATGATAGAGTTAAGATATGAGAGGCTGGAAAGTTCCTGAAGACTGGTCCGTGACATAAGTGATCTCACTTTCTTAGCTTTCACGCTCTCTTCGTATTGCCCCATGTTCCTTTCTTCTCGATCAAGAAATTGATTCAATCATTAATCATAAATATAACACTATATTCGTTATATCTCTCCTTTATTCCGATCAATCATGAGTAAACATATATATATATACATACTATCTCGAATAAAGTAATATTAAGTTACCTGAGAAGAGAGAGATCCTACTCCGCGAAGTACTCCCTGAGGAAGGCTGCCGAAGACTGGCTCTCTCGGTTCGCCCCCACCCGAGGGGCTGCTCCAGGTAGAGCGATAGTTTTTGTGCCATCTCTTCTCATTAGTAGAGGATACTATCAGAAGAGTGGTAAATACCAGGATGGGTTAAAATAAATCTATTCAATAATCTAAAAAAACGAAAAAAAAAATTGGTGTGGTTCACGCACTACACAACTTTAATTTACCACCCTACCTCGAGTAAAAATAGGTATTTTCACACATAGAAAAGTGATAAATTTTTGTCCTTCAATGAAAGAAATCCATTGTGTAGAGGTTTTTTTAGACTTTTATATTTATATCCAGATTTGAAATATTATATTATTTTTCTCATAATATTATATTCAGACACAAATTCCCTATACACTTCGTCGTAAACCTATAAATTTCTGTTTTACTGTATCCTTTAACAATCCCTTTTGAACAAATCAGATACTAGTGTTGTCCAAATGCGAGACCGAGACGAGTCTTGGTCTTGCAAACTCAGTCTTGGTCTTGCTCTCGCAACAGTCTTGCAGTAACTTATTATCTTATTACTTTAGAGATATTGCTGTAATTGTTTAGATAGGAGAAACCTCACTAAGCCCAAATGAAAAATTAGAGGAGTTAAATGCAAAAGTATATTGTTTATACCAATAATGAACATATTGTAACTAAGATTGTCTAGTATTAGTAAATATTTTGCCTTAAATTTATTAAAATAAATCGATTTTTTTTTACCAGTCCTGGTCGTGGTCTTGGTCTTGCAAATTGCAAGGCCAAGACCGATTTTGGGCAACGCTATGCGATACCTGCACAATTGACTCACTTGGAATCACTAGCGGATCCAGGATTTAATTTTTTTTTTGGGGGGGGGCTTCAGCCCGAAAGCTTTTTTTTTCATAAAAATGATGATAATTACTTTTGAAAAAAGAAGAAACTATCTATATGAAATGGTGTTTAAGTGATTCCTTAAGTCCTTTTAAATGAAATTACATGAACAATAATACTTTAAGAGATACTTTTTAAATATATATTTCAAAAAAACATAGTTATTTTTTACCATTTTCGGGGGAGGCTTCAGCCCGAAAGCCCTCCTCCCCCCCCCCCGTAGATCCACCCGTGCTTGGAATCCTCATACCAGACTGAAACGACAAGAAACGGCTCGACGTTTCCGACTACTCCAATACTTACTAGACGAATGCTCTAAACTTCCAATTATTTACAAAAGACTCATATACATTACTATAATAATGCCTATTTGGACTTACGGGATCGAACTTTGGGGCTCTACTAAACCATCAAATTCCTCTCGTATCCATTCTTTACAATCCAGAATCCCTCGTAAAATTCTCAACGCTCCATACTTTGTCACAAATAAAATAATCCTTAAAGACCTCAATGTTCCATATGTTACCGATTTGGCCAAATCCAGACACCTATCCTTTCATAATAAACTTCATAACCATCCGAGTCCTCTTGTTTCTAGCCTTGCTTCCTCTTCGATTCCTGATAAGCCTACGAGGCGTCTGTAAAGAAGATGGCCTCGTGATCTCCTCATGTAGACAAATTATTAGAGTGCTACCAATGGATAGTTTCTCAACAAGCGTGTTTCATGTGATTATATTCCTCTGTACACATTTACTTGATGTATTCATACTAATAAAGTTGTAAATATCATAATAAAAGTTAAAAACAAAAAAAAAAAAATATTTATACGCAGATTTGAAATATTATATTATAATTCTTATAATATTAAATTCAGACAACTATAATTCATTTTTAAATGGTTTTATTTTGAACAAAACATTGGTGTGTTGCAAAATGGCTCTAATTAAAATGTGAACCAACTTTATTTACTGATAAAAAAAAGTAATGCGCCAAAACCATAAAGAATCTTTTATTTATCAAAAGTAGCTACACCAAACGTGCAATTTTCTGATTTCACAGAAGAAAATTCCTTGCAATTTTAAGGATGAAACAAAATTTTCAGGAATTTCAGTCAAGATATTTTGACTGATGTTAATAATTTGATAAAAAGTGATCAGTACCACGGACTAAATACCCTTAGATCAATTCATTTGAATTATTTAAATAACAATACAATATATTAAAATTACATGTATTTTTTTCTAATAAAACTACCAAAATGTATAGAGAATTATGTTTTACTCTTTCTTCTAGTGTTGGCCAAATGCAAGACTAAGACGAGTTTTGGTCATGCGCACTCAGTCTTGGTCTTGGACAAGAGTTTCGCTACAGTCTTGCACTTCCCTATTAGCACAGGCGGATTTACGGGGGGGGGGAGTTTTCTCAGTCTGAAGCCTCCCCTCCCCAAAATGGTAATATATACCCATGTTTTATAGAAAAAAATATTAAAAACTATCTCTTAAAGTATTATTGTTCGTGTAATTACATTTACTAGGACTTAAACACTATTTCATATAGGTAGTTCATTTCTTTCTCTTTTTTTTTATAATTAATTATCGTTATATATATGAAAAAAAATCTTTCGGGCTGAAGCCCCCCCCAAATTAAATTCTGGATCCGCTAGTGCCTATTAGATTATTACTATAGATATATTACTGTATTTTTTTAGATAGGAGAAACCTAACTGAGCCCTAATGAAAAATTAGAAGAGTTGAATGCAAAATTGGTTATACAAATTCTTTCCATATAGTAACTAAAATTGTCAATTATACTATTTTGCCTTAATTTTTATTTAAAATCGTTGTTTTTTTTACCAGTCTTGTTCTTGCAACAGTAGGCGATCTTCGTCTTTGCAAGACCTGAAGAAAATTCCTATAGTGTCCATCTTGCTCTCCTCCCTCCCCACAAGAAATTTCATTGCCCTTCTCTTCTTAAATACAGTTTCTAGCCAAAGGAGAATTAGGAAAATTCTAAATGATATACAATCATTCTTAATGCAGTCTCTTTTTATTTTATATTTTATTTGGTCCTCCCCTTCCTTACTTTTAGGCGATATGGGGTTTTCGCTGATTAGGGAATTAATGCCAGAATTAAAAGCCCCTAAGAAGGACATAAAACTATCTTCGACCTCTAAGAAAATAAAAACATAGTGTGGGATAAAGGGACCTTATTACCTAAATATTAGGCATATATTTTGGCTCATGCTCTCTAAAATTACCGTAAATTCGGCATAATACTTTCTTTTCAAATGTGCAGAAGATTTATTCTTCAGCTCTGTTAGTGGTCTTTATCTCGGGGCCATAACATAGAGCAGGACAAATAAGAGTTCCATAAAACATAAGTTTCGTTCGCCTTATTATGAAATTGTTTGAGAGAAGCTTCCAGGGAACAAAATAGCAGATTTGTTACGGAAGCCCTGCAGCACATTTGTTGCAGGTTTCCATTGATCCCAGATAGACGAACTCTTAGGGGATGGTGTGCCCAGCAACCTGATGTTCAGCGGGTCTACCGGGGAACCTCAAAGAGAGAATCGATGAAAATCCCAGAAAATGGAAAACTATTATCCGGGAGGATACAATTGAAGTGAGGAATCAACGGTGGGTGACAAGTTCGAAAGAGGCCATCCTGAGGAAGTACTTCTCCACTGTTGTGGATTACTGGTTCTCATGAACTGAAGATAACATGATAAAACAATTATGAGTTCGCGTTCCGGAGAAGGGGGCTTTCAGTTCTGTATTAATCCCCATCCTCTCTCCTAGCTCGTGAAAAAACTCATATAGTCGAAAAGGCGAAGACACCTGAGAGAAGTCTGAGGCCAGCTTTCTACATTCTAGAGGTACATCCAAACGTACTCTAACCAGAAGGCGAATACAAAGATTCATTCCGCTGGTTTGCCACAAAACAAATTTCAACCCGCTCAGACCTAATTCGAACGAGTGTGGCTATATATTAGGAAATGTTTAAGAGAACAATGCCTCAATGAGCTTGGGTATCAAAACCTCTCTTTCATTAATTACTTACTATGTAGCTCTACAGCCCATGGTGGGCCTTGGCTTCCTGAATTATAGCATGCCAATCGTCTCTATTGCTCGCTCTTTTCTTCCAATTTCTCATACCCAGTGTTTAAAGATCGCTCTCAACATCTTGCAGTCATCTTTTCCTTGGTCTTCCCTTTCTTTTTGTGCCATACACTGTGGAGAACAATACCCTATAAGGCATCCTGCTATGGTCCATTCTAACCAGGAGGCCTAACCATTTCATACGCCTAATTTTACTGAAATTAACTATGTTGGGGCTGTTATATAATTCATATAGCTCCGCATTTTTTCTATACCTCCACACACCCTCTTCACAAACAGCTCTATAAATTTTTCTTTCAAAAATATTCATCATACTAATTGTGCTAGTACAAAGGGTCCATTTCTCCCACTGCATAAGTCACAATAGGTCTTACTAAAGTCTTATCTTTGTTTCTCGTGACCGAAGCGATGATCGAAAAAATTTTAGGATGGCATAGTAAGCCCGGTTTCCAGCTATGATCCTCTTGTACACCTCAGCAGCAATTTTATTTTCAGAATTCACTTCCACTCCCAGATAGATGAATTTTTTGACACATTCGAAGGTAAGACCACATATTTCAATGCTCTGTGGACCAGCCTCATTGTCGGCTCCGACATACATACTTCCAGCCCAACATTTTCACCTAGGGCTTTCAATATCGCAAAGATTTCTTTCATTCTATATTGTAAATTATGTATGAATATATAAAGTAAAATGAGAAATAGCAACACTGATGTTATATCCAGCGGATCCATCGACCCTCTGAGCCATCGATGAATAAAAGAAGCGCTTAGCTATATTTCGATGAGTTTAGGAACGATATGATGGGTTTCCGATGTCAGCGATGAATTTAGAAACTTGGCCTATAACCTAACAATTTTATTTTTTTTAAATAATTTCAGATATAATCTGAAAATGTTAGGCCTAATATTGAATACGTTTTACAGTTAATAAATTTATTTATTGAAAACATTTATTAATGCATTTTGGCATATATTAGTCCAGTCAAAGAAT